ACGCAGCCAAATATTTCACTGAACAGATCAGCCACTTTTGACGCTCATAAACAATCATAAAGTTCTTGTGCTGCAGGAATTAGGGGGTTTGCTGAAGTGCAGCTGTCGTGCAGTGAGGGGTTTGCGTATTTAATAAACTATGTAAGTTTGCTTTCATTAAACAGTAAGAATGATTATTAAATCCACATGAAACAATCTCTTAAAAGTCACGTCCTGCTTTAGGTTTCGGGCTTAGGCACGTTTTGTACTCACACACAAGCTTACCACACCAAAGCCCAAGTGAACTGCGCTCAGGCACACCTCTTTGAACCATGCGAACCAAGTGAACCATGCCTGAGCCCAATTCAGAGCACTCACACTTCTCAAACGATCTGGGAAACGGGCCTGGGCATAGTTCAGATAGCATAGTGTGAGTAGGCCCTCAGTCTGGCTGAAAAGCAAGATCTAACTTGAGACCTTAAATTACTATATTTGACCTATGTAAAATGCAATAGTTAAGGCTACTTTAAGATTTTAAATTGAGACAATCCATGCACCTGGTGACAATGCATAGTGACAGTAGCAGTAATCACCGCCACTGTAAAAACAAAAATAAATAAAAGATTGTCAATTCAAAATTATATAAAAAGGCAATCATAATAACAATTAATAATAATAACAATCAATAATTCCTTAATTAACATTTACATACGCTTTTCTGGACACTCAAAACGCTTCACACTTTTTTGGTGGGTATCTCCTGGACCATCCACCTGGATGATATGACTTCAGCCATATTGTGCCAGACCACACGCCAACTGATTGGCAAAGAGGACACAGAGTGATGAAGCCAATTATGATATGGGAATGGTTAGGAGGTTATGATGGACAGAGGCCAGTAGGCAAATTTGGCCAGGATGCCAGGGCAAAACCCCTACTTTTTTTCAAAGGACATCCTGGATTTTTTGACGACCACAGAGTCAGGACCTCAGTTTAATGTCTCATTCGAAAGACGGCGCTCACCGAGCAGTATAGAGTCCCCATGAATATACTGGGGTGGAAGGACCCAGATAGACCACAGGTTAAGCGCCTCCTGCTGGTCTCACTAGCACCGCTTCCGCCAGCAACCTAGCTTTCCCATGTGGTCTCCCATCCAGGTACTGACCAGGCGCAGCCCTGCTTAGCTTGAGTGGGTGACAGTGTATGAGTTGCAGAGAGCTAGCTGCCGGCACCAATATATAAAACTGATATATAAAATAAATAAATAAATAATATAAAATATTTTCATTTGTGTTCCATGCTTGAGCAAGACAGCTGACTCAGTGGTTCATAAAACACAACAAGTAATTTGATCAATAGGTTGGCGACCACTCCTCTATGCAATATAGGTATATAACAAGTCCTGCTCCTTGAAGGATTCAAATTGTTCCTCATTGTCCTTTTGAATTTAACACTATCACACCTGCCTATTTTTAGGAACTCATTTATGTTTGATTAGTACTCTGGTGGCATTCCAGAAGTGTATATACTGTCATACCAACAACCCCAGTGACATCTGTTTAGTGTCCCTATCCATAACAGTAATAAAATGTAACTAAAAGTGAACTGTATATGCTGACATGTATAATTTACTTCTGTCATAGGCTCAGCATCTTTCCTCACCTCTCACCTCTAGAGATTGTCCGGTTGGAGACTTTAGAGCGGCACAGGTTGCTCAGGATGAGGTGAGTAGACTTTAAATGCGAGTAGGTTTTCACATCACATGGATGGGTAATTAATTTCTTGTTTTGTGGCAGGAAATTGCACGTTTCATGCAGAAACAGGAGATAAAAGTTAAGCGGAGTTCCCGTGAGTTGGAATCTGCTGGGCAGGAATGCAGGGAGATTGAAAGAAGAGCAACATGTGACAGACAGGTCAGACACATTTATTTAGATCTTTCACTTACTTAGCCTATCCTAACCTTTTACCAGTGGTGTAAAGTAACAAATTATAAATACGTAAATTCCTGTAAATGAGTAGTTTTTCTCAGGAATTGTAATTTACCAAGTAGTTTTAAAAATGTGTACTTTTACCTTCCCTTGTGTACATTTTAAGTGCTGTATTGGTACTTTTACTCCATTATTTTCCTTCAACCTGCAGTCAACTTTTTTTTTTTGTCTATGGCGATTGGCTAAAGTAAAACAATCAGTACTGTGATTCCTGTTCAATCAAATCGCACATAGAAACTAAACTGCACCATACTGAACTACCTCAAGACATGGGTGCTATATAAATGCAGCTAACAATTTGAATACATTAAAAGTGTCCAAGGTTATGTCAAAAATTGTCACACGCAATGCCCCAGTGACTGTTTAAACTAGATGATGGATGTATAATGTCTGAAATGGCCTTAAACAATCACTAAATGCACTACAGAATGTTGCGTTTTCACACGCATATATGCACAAATTGCATGTAAAAGCATTCGACTTTTAGATTATAAATACTCACTACTCACAACTCAGTACTTTTAAAAGCACTACTTTTACTCATACTTTGAGTAATATTTACAACAGACACTTTACTCCACTTAAACTACAATTTTTTGAGAAAGTAATGTCACTTTTACTTGAGTATGATTTTTCAGTACTCTTTCCACCACTGTTTGCCTTTTACCCATTACTATCCAAACCAGAATTTCAAGCACTGATTGATTGTATCAAATGCTCTTCTGCGCAATTGCCTTGTTCGTGCATGTTCTAGCAAGCCATTTTTGATATCGATGCTGATAGATTGGTTCCAAACTTTTTTTTAACAGATGCATTCCCATGAAACAATCCATGTGATTCATCATTATTGCTACGTGTTCGTTGGAAATATTTCTTTTAGAGGTTATTCATACTAACTCAAGCACCACATTCTAAAATGTGTCTCTGTCTGTTGGAATGAAGTAAATCAGCTTTTAGAATTATTTTAGTTGTAATAAAAAAAAAACTGTCACACTTTATTTTGATGGTCTTTTTGTTGTATTTAAGTTTCATTGCATCTACATGCCAACTAATTCTCATTAGATTATAAGTAGACTGTTGGGATGGGATTAGGGTTAGTGTTAAATTGACATGTAAGTTGACATTTACTTGCAAAATTTCTTATAGTTAGTTAAATGTCTGTTGAAGAAGCAGTATCAATAGATTTTAAGCAGACAGTCAACTAATACTTAAAGGACCATCAAAATAAAGTGTTACCTAAAAAAACTGTTTATTTATATATATATATATATATATATATATATATATATATATATATATATATATATATATATATATATATATATATTAACAGTTTTTTTTAGATTATATAGTTTATATATATATATATATATATATATATATTGAATTACTAAATATGCTGTTTGATATAAAGAGGCGGAGACTGGATTCTGAAGGTCTTCGATCCCCGGTTGATGACTTCAGCCCAGACCATCCAGGTCAAATGTCTACACCAGTGTAAGTCACTGATTTTTCTAATTCCGAGTTCAGACTGCACGATTTTAGCCCTGATTTTTGACTTGCCGACAGGTTCTAAGAAATCACAGGCCAATCGGTGCTCATCTACATAAGTAACAATCACACAGTGTAAACTATCGAAGCCGTGATCTGAAAGAATTTCAGATGAGTCGCTAACACCCATCATAAATTTCGCATGGTAATTATCTAGACCTGTCAGCGATTCAAATCATGCTGTGTGAAATGTGTTCTTAGAGAAAATAACATCGGCGATTACCTACAGCCAATAAGAGAGCAGCATCCACTAGTATGGGTATCTGCAGTCCAGTGGGAGGATGGGGGAGAAGTTAAAAGGGCTTTCTTGGTCTATTTCAACCCCAGAAATGGAGGAAAAACTGGTGTAAATTTGGCAGGGGCACCTGTGTCTATTTGACATGTCAGCTAAGCAACATCACAACCAGGTCGAAAAAGAATAAAGCCGACGCGAATTGCCTTCAAATGCCAGGTGAGCAAAATAAGTAATATTTTACACCACTAAAGGCTTCTTTCTCATTATGTAGTTAATAACAAAAGATATACTACAACCTTGTTGTTTCCATGTCACTTCTCACCTGTTTGATTGTGAGACATATTTTGTGTATCTAGACAACTTTGTGTCGGCGATTCTTTCTATTTAAAGTCATGCAGTGTGAAATCCCCTGTCGCCGATCTTTCTTGCCGTGTAAACAATGCAGCGATGAAACGCTTGCCCAGATAGTCATGTAGTGTGAATACATCTATGATGCAACTACTTTGAAAATCGTGCAGCTTGAACTCGGCATAAGAACAGCTAATTTTTTCAGAAGGTATGTTTTAACATATTCTGGTGTCACGACAGGCAAACACAAGCCATTAAGAATATCGCAGAAGAGCTTGACCCCACATTTCAAAGAAAAAACTCAGCCGATGATGGAAAAATCAATGGTGCTTTTATGTATAATTAAGTAACACTCATTACTTCTCCCATAAATATACATATAGCAAAAATGATAATCATGAGTTGTCTTGTATACAGGTCAAACTTCCCCACAGGCAGGCTCGTACAACCCATTGGATGAACCAACATTTGTTCCACCCACAAAACGACAGAGTGAAAAACTCGGACGAGTAAAGACCAAAGAGAAAAAAGAAAATGTGAAACAGAAAGAGAATTGCAAGCAGCAGTGATGCTGGACATGTGAAATGACCTGCATTAAATAAGTCATATATGCATGATATGCATGCTTGTCCCAACACTTGGGGATTTTCCAGTCTTCTGCTTTCACCAGTACTTGTTGGGATTCATTTGTAATAAACAAACTTGCAAAACAGGGGCACTCCAGATAATGCTGCTGTTACTAGCCAACATCTGTCATGCTGTATTTAGGTTTTCTGTTTCATTTTTGGTTTAGCAGCTGGCTAGAATGTCACCACAAAAGGGAAAGCTCCAATCTAACAGACAGTGCTGTTCAAAAAATGCATTCCTGTATGACTGGGAATATCAGAAATTATACTACGCTGAAGAAAAAGGAAGTTGACACACATTGTTGTCCAACATCCAAGCAGGCATTCTTTTACTATGGATTGTACTTTCCTCTTCTTGTATTCCAGGAACTACTTCAGCCTTAAAAAAAGTGTTATTTTCGTTTTTGTGTGTTGCCTTCAAGAACACGTGTGTTAGCTTCATGCTTTAAAATGTTTACTATTCTTAATATTATTACTGATAATATTTAGTAGTTTACAAGACCTGGAGTCTTGTTTCTCTTCTTCTGCCTCCTTTGTAGTGTACATCAGCATATTTTATATGCTTTACCAGGTTAGAGGAAATGAAACATTTTGTACTGATAAGTGCCATTTTTACACGTGTTTATTAGTGTCATTACATCAGTGTAAACAATGTGTTGTCAACAATCAGACCTTTAATGCTTGTATAAAGTAAAAAAAAAATCCTTGTACAGAAGATTAAAAAATCTATATAAATCCACTCATACTGTCAATATCCTTCTTTAGATTTAAGGAAACACATTTTGCATACTGTGTTGTGTGAATTTCCCAAATGCATGCAAATCTCAACGGGAAGCACCTTAACAAATTCCAGCAAATTCTCTTTCCACAAAATGAAACTTGAAAGGCTTAGTTTTTACGCTGTGCATGTGTTAGACATGCTCTTATAACAGGATTACCCTGTTAGGGTTTTACATGGTGACGCATTAAGTGACACATTCTTCAGAATGACCTTTTCAGACGCACTATTGCCACAGCTCTCGCCCACCAGCTGTTCCACCTAACCCTTACAGCTGTTATTTTTCAAACAGCGTGTCAAATCAATTATCACTATAAAGATATTTTTTTATTTTATTTTTTTGTGGATGCACCATGATTTAACTCAACATGTCAGCACTTGTTGTCAAGGTTTAGTAGGAAAACCAATCCAAGTGATTCATTGAAACCGCTTGATGTACTATAATCACACTAAAGGACATGTTAATGTTGCAGTCTTGTCACTAGGGAACTCCCGCTGAGTCACTCACCAACAGTGCATAATGATAAAGTTCAAGTTGCAATAGTAGATTAGAAGTGAATAGAATCTTTCAACTCGTCTTTAAGTGTTTATATTATTTGCAGAAGCAATACTCCCTTGAACTGGTTTTCTGACCTTAGCTTTCTGATAAGGTAAGCTAGAAATTTACACAAAAGGAAATTGTAGGAGATTCGCTGTCAGAGGATTTTGTCCCCAATAACCCGTTTAATGACCTGACTGTCTACTCTATGAACTCTGTCTTTACCTACAGGAATTCCCCAACACAGTTTTTCAGTGACCTCTGATGTTTTCTATAGTGATAAATATATATATACAATATACAGAACAGGTTTTGCTAAATAGTACAGTACCACAGTGTAGTTTGAATGTTTCTTATGAAATCACTGGATTACTGGTTTTTGCATGGTTAACCAAATGTGGGACACTTTGTTTTAAGGTTCAGTTCTCAGCGAAGTATTAACTATGACTTTTGCCTCAAATTCCTCATTTGCTGCTTATTAATAGTTATTAAGGTAGTAGGTGGGTTTAGGTATTGGTTAGGATTTAAGATTTTAAATTAGATCATGTACTTTTATAAGTACTAATAAGAAAACAGTTGCTTATTAACAGGAAGGTAGTAATAATTCTTTTAAACTACTCAACAAGAGACACTAGCTCATGTCAGTGTTATGTAATTAAGAGGAAATGTCAGTAGGAAATGTCAAACAAGTAGCGGAAACGTGATAACTTTTTTATTTTTTGTAAAAGAGATTTTCAGGGGTTTTTTTAAAGAGCACTTATGATGAAAATAATCTTTTAGAAGCTGTTTGGACAGAACTGTGTGTTGTAGGTACAGTATAGTGTGCCCACAGTCATATTGGGGTGATATAAAGACAATAAATCTCTTTTTAATTTCCTGGCATTAAAATAGGGTACTATTCCTGACGTTAAAATCTGTAGGGGTGCAGTTTGCCCGCCCACTGAATAAATAGACAGCCACATATTAACATGTCTCCGTAGTAACACGTATAATCAGATCAACAAGACAGGACGTGCTGAAGACAACCGGGATTAAAAGATCTGTTTAGCTCTTGGTGATCATCAGTCATCATCAAATGTAATCAAGAATGAGTTTCACAAGTTTAAAATGTTTTTAAAACAGTGCATGTATGTAATAAAGTAAGATAAAGTCGGTAAAATTGTTGTAATTCATCACTACAGCCGCATGTCAGTACAATTATAAAATAAGACGCTTTAATCCCGATTTGTGAACATTAAATCAGGTTTATTTTGTACATTAATATAACGGATATCCATACAGATGTTTTATTAACATGTATCCTGTCACATTTGCCATGCAAAAACAGTGCAAAGTTAAACGTGGGTGCTGTGTGTGTGAGCTTTGTAACAACATTGTGTGTCTCATCATTGCAGAAAGGCTTAAATTAACTCCACAACAAATACATCAAATAATCATTGGAAAAGTTCTTAGTGTAGTATTTCTCACAAGCGTTACGTGAGATCTGCTTCCTTTAAGTCGGTCACTGTGCTGTTTATCTGATGTTTATGTTAAATCTTGAAAACGGATAAAATAGGTGCCCTTTAAAGGTTGAATGTAGCATTTGTTCATTCAACTGTGATGACACAAACATGCAAATAAGAACTTTAACCAGGAATTTACAGATAGTTGTAAAAACTCAAAAAAATACCTATGATTAATTCTTAACTCATGAAAAAGACTGAAGAGCTGTTATGAATGAAAAATGAATGTCATTTAATTTAACTAAAACATGCACACTAAATTGTTAAACACAATGCTGTACATTTTGATGAGGTCATCTGTTGATTCTTCAGTGCACTTTTTAAAATACATGACTAGGTCTACCACATTTACCAACCAATTCCCAGACATACAACTGAATAAAAAAACTAAAAAAAAAAAAAAAAAAAAACAATTAGAAAAGCACAACAAGTTGTATAAAAAAAACCCACAATCTTCTCAGTTCTCAAAATTTTTTTGTGGGGTCAAAAAAGTGCTGTTTTGATCTGAATACTGGGAAAGCCCACCAGGGTATTTCAAGAGGGCTTTAACCTGAAATGTGATGCAAGCACCAGTAGATGACACCTACACTCTTAAAAATGATGACATACTGTCTGCTACTGCACACCTACATTAAAACCTCTGATCTGTGATTTTAAGGTGCACCACACTTCAGAAGTTCAGGCTCAACAAATTCAAACCTCTTTGTGTGCTTTGACACTTTTATTGTGTACATACACTAGTATGTCAAATGCCTTTCAAAGTATACTGCGGTTGATGGTGCGCAAACACAGCCACTCAACACTTGCATTAAATAGACCCATGTGCAGTGTTTGAGTATTCTCTCCCCAAATGAATTATAAAAATATATTTTGTGGATATATTTACATAAGTAATCATGAAAACAACTTGTTCATTTTCTATCTTCTCTTCTTCTGAGTATAAAACAACGGTGAAGTTCAGTGTGACAAACCAAGTAGTGCAAACAATAAAAAAAGTACTTTGTCAACAGCGAAGTACGCATACAGCATGTGAACAAAGTTAGCACCCTTAACACTAAGGTACACATAAAAACTGAGCTCTGCACTAAAGTCACCAAAACAGCAGATAAAGATTGTATTTTTTTTTTTTTTTTTTTTTAAAGCTTCGTTTTAGTGTAGCAATGCTGTCCAGAGGCCTGTTGCAGAAAGCCGGTCTGCTGTATGTTTGTGCTCAGTTTCGGGCCAAACCTCAACACCAAACAACTTCCCTACTCAAAGGATCAAGTCCCAAAGTGCCCGATATCCTTTGAAATCCTTCATTTCAGAGGACCCTTTTGAAGTGGCCAGCTTTGAACACCAGTTTGGTGTTCACTCTTCAATGTGGTGGCTTCAGAGGGTGGAATACACCGACAATCACAAGCTCTATCCCTGGGTTAACAGAGATTAAGGTTCGTGATACACCATGGAGTTTCAACTCATTTGTGCAACAGGCCTCAGTCACATCACACTATGAGTTTGGACTCTGAGTTTTCCGTATTGATGGATTGCGAGCTTCCACCCTGTTCCTGCTCAGGATGATGAAAACTACAGTGTTCTTGCTCCACCACCATAATCGTAGAGTCGTCTGAATTGCCTAAAAGAGAGGAATCGCAATACTGTCATTCTTACATTGTCATGATGGGTGGTTTTCTTCAAAAGAACAAAAAGTGGACACCGGTGTTTACCTTGCTCAGTTTTTGCCTTCTTTTTTGTTTTGTTTTGTGCCTTAACATATGCCACCACTGACAATATGATGCAAAGAAGAGCCAACCCTGCTATCATTGCTGCAATCAAAACTGGAAGCCAATTCATCTCGTCTTGAAGAAACCCAGAAAAGAAAGATGCTTAGAATGTGAAATTCAGTAAAAGGTACTTGATTTTATTTACGCAAACCTCATTTACCTTTTTCTTTGCTAATGACAGGCAATGTTTCTTGTTCAGTTACTGTGACAAACACATGATAATTAGATAATGTGCTATTATAACTTCTTATTCAATATTCTGTTCTCTATCCTTACCTGTTCTTACACTACTCGAAGGTGGTGGAATGCATGTGCTGTCACTGGTCAAGTTTCCTTTTTTCAATTTGTATCCATCTGGACAACTGCTGGAGAATAGATAAGAAACTTTACAATCACAGCAACATCAGATCACATTTCAGAGAAACTTTTTTTTGTTTGTTTGTTTGTTTTGTTACCTTTTTGTCCATTCTTTGCACGTACTGTGGATTTTATCGCTGAATTTTCCCTCAGGACATTGTCCACATACTCCTGCAAGAATTTAATTACAGAAAATAAATTGGCAGTGCAACAAAAAGCAAGTCATGTCCTGTTCGAGAGCTTCTTAAAGAGTCTTACGGCCTTTGGGCTCCTCTCCTTTTTTGCATTCAGTAACACAGTGAGAACATTTGGCATCTCCACACCGAAATCCAGGCTTGCAGCCGCATACGGTGTCACTGCTGCTTGTGCAGTTTTTAGCCACAAACTGTATGCCTATAATTAGATTATTGCATTGTCAGTCTGACTCAGTAAAATGAAATCATTCCTTCTGTTTCTGTCATTCACTTAGCCAAAATCTCAATGAGGATGCAAAATAGACTTTACCTATGCATTGGGTACAAATATCACAGCTGAAATCAGTTCCGGTTATGTAAGTGCCAGGTTCACATGGTTTACAGAGTTCTGCTGGGTCATATCCACATCTTTTCACCAAGCGGTTTCCTGTAGGAACAAGCAAATACTCAACCGTTATACACTACCTGACCAAAAAGTAGTTCATGAGTAAGTAACTATGAAATGCTGGATTTATATTGCATTGATTCATTTGTTTCTGCTTTTAAACTGTTAGTATTTCTTTTATTTTATTTCATATTTTGGCATTATATTTCCTTTAAATGTGCTTTTAAATTGCATTATGGGATCAAGCTTTTTTTCTCCAACAAATTTTGATGCTGAAAAGTTTGAAAAAGTAGTTTTGAAGATTCTGTAGATTCTGTAGAAAAAGTAGTTTTGACATTCTGTACACCTATAATCTGGGTTGGAGTTCTAAACTATTGTACAAAGAAACTGTAATAAGCTTCCAGTACTTTATTTGTTACAGACTTGCGTCTTTACTTATTATTTATTTTATTTAAAACTATTAAAAATGTCAACAAAAGTCACTTTTTGTTCAAATACATTGTTGAATTTTCAACATTAAAAGTGAACATAGCATAAAGATCCCAGAGAGCTATTCATAACCTTTTAATAGACAAGAAAAAACAACTGAATCACACAATACAGAACACATTTTAAAATGTGGCATCTTTTAGCTTTTTAACTCTGATGCAATGTGTAGCTTTTTTGTTTTTTTAAACGAGCATGCTCAAGGACATATCCTGTTGGTATATACTGTATCCATATATATGCACTACTGGTCAAAAGTTTGGGGCTAGTAGAATTTTGAAATGTTTTAAAATAAGCTTCTCCTATTCAACAAAGCTGCATTTATTTCATCAAAAATATAGAACAAATTGTAAAATTGTGAAATGTTATGGCACTATTAACTGTACAAAAGTGATTTCTGTTCCAGTGATTTTAGGGATGAATTTTCAGCCTCATTACTCCAGTCTTCAGAGTCACATGATCCTTCAGAAATCACTCTAATATTAATTATTACTGTTATTATTAATAATAATGTCAATAGTAATAAAAGTGATTATGACTAGAGTTTATTACATATCATCAGAGTTTATTACATACATAGAGAAATTACATATCATAATAAATAAATATTTAAAAAAAATTACATTTAATAAATGCCGCCTTGATGAACAGAATCATTTAAATTAAATTAATAATAAATACATTTTAAAAAAACTGACTCCAAATGTATGACCGGTAAAGAGAGATTGATAGATATTCAATCCTAAAACTAATATACAGCAACCACTGACATCCATAGTAGAAACAAAGTATATACTGTTATTTACTACATTCTTCAACATATCTTTGTGTTCAACAGAAGAACGATACTCAAACAGGGTTGTGATAGAGTAAATGATGACAGAATTGTGATTTTGGGGTAAATATAATAGTAGGTTTTTTTTTTTTTTTGTGGGGGAAAAAATCACTATTAATTACATTTGCCACACAAAATAAGATTTGCTTCTTTGAAACGACACCAAATATTTAAATCAGAAGTACAGATAATGAAAGTGATCATATCAGGTATGCTCAAGAAATATTGAGCAATAAATCGGGACAACCCTTGTGTGATCTGAGGATGCTGTAGTCATCTTTATGCAATGACAATTCATGGATTTCCCTTTGAGAACAAAACCGCATTCCTCTCAATCAAGTTTCACAATGACCTGAAACTTCTGTCACTAATGTGTAATTTCAAAAACATTAATCTATTTTCTGTATTCCAATAGCAAGTTACGAAACTCTACTTCATATAGAGGTGTTGTAAGATGCCAGATATCTTGTAAACTTACATAACAATACACATTACTCTGAGTTCTTGTATCAGTACCTGGTTTACAGCTTGTGCAGCAGACATAATTTTTTCCTGAAGGAGTCCAGTTCTGACAGCCAACATCTACACCTACTGTCAAATTCAGCACTAGACTGAATATCAGCAAGCTATACAGTCCTGGAAAACCAGCCAGCATTTTTGCCTAAACACACACATACATACATACATACATACGCTTTACATACATCAGACATTAAAAACTGTCAGCAGTGAATCTGTTACATTTTACAAGGTATGTGTGTGTGTATATATATATATATATATATATATATATATATATATATATATATATATATATATATATATATATATATATATATATATAAAGAATTAAAATGCATTGTTTGAATTAAAGAATGAGCAATAATATCATCTTACTGTTTGAGTGTAGTGGTCCTGATTCGTAGCAAACGCTCACTGACAAGGATTTCCCTTTCATGATTTAAATAGGCTAAATGGGGGGCGTGGTATTGTGGCAAGGCGGTCATAGCCTCGAGCACTGCACAGTGACTGAGCTGGAGGAAGACGATATTTGTGCATTTTAGAACTCCGTCAAGCATCAATCCGAAGGTCTATCCGTTTCTGGGATGCTAATAGATGCGTCTCAAGTGCAGTGTAATGCTAGCACAAAGGCATCTCGTTTGTTTAAAATTTGTCACAGACCGTTTTAAGATCGTGATTGTGCGTTTCTTTGTTCTGTCTCCATTTCAACACTTTTCTTCTCACATAATTTCATGTCGTGCTTTGTAGTGTTGCCGCGAAATATTAGATAAAGGACATTGTCAATAGACAGACTCGTTATATAAAGTGTAAAGTGAAGACTTGATGCATTGTTTGTTTTGTTTCGTTTCGTTTTGTTTTTGATATTGGAATGTACATTTTTGTCAATGACATTTACGAATTTGTCTTTCTTTGCCAGTGATATTGTGTTTGACATAAAGTATAGGCTTTTTTAGGCTTAATTGATCAGTCCTAGATTGTAAAATTCAGTCTGGTAAAAGTCTGGTATGTATTCTCTGTGTTTAACATCTTAATGTTTTCTTTTGATGTGATTAAAAGGATGTTAGGGATTTAAAAAAAAAAAAAAAAAAATATATATATATATATATATATATATATATATATATATATATATATATATATATATATATATATATATATATATATACTGTGTTGTGTAATCAATAACATCAGTCAAATTTACAAAAAAAAGTTCAAGATTTCCATAACCTACTCTAAATATAGATTAACGAATAAATAAATAATGAAGGCTCAGATAGATAGATAGATAGATAGATAGATAGATAGATAGATAGATAGATAGATAGGTAGATAGATAGATAGATAGATAGATAGATAGATAGATAGATAGATAGATAGATGTTGACTTTTGCCAAAATAATCCTTCATTTATAATCAATGATACATCATAACTTGTGTCATGACTCATAAGCATCACCTTTTGCCTTGTCACCCACATTTACAAAATCAATGACACAGCAACTTCCTTCACTCCTTAATAATGTCCTTTTCTATAAAGGTTTGAGCCGCAAAAGGTTTAAAAAAAATAGCAAAAGCTATCATTTTAAGAGTCAGTTGACAATTGAATCATTATTCTAGTTTATGACTAAGCTTTTTCCTTTCTTTTTTTAACAGAACTGTGGAAAATGCTTTTAAACAAAATGTGATCCCTGTTCATTTAAAACATGAATCAACTTTAAAGGCATTCTTAGGAGAACTTTTTGTAATAAACTTTAACCACAAAAACAATCTAAGTGTCTAGCCCTTAAATGCCGTATCTTAAAGTATGTCCAATGCAGTAGCCTATGTTTTATGAGCTTTTTAGACAATACAAAGAATCCAGTTAATGTATGTATGCATGTACTGTATGTGTATGTATGTGTGTATACATATATATATATATATATATATATATATATATATATATATATATATATATATATATATATATAAAATAGGAATTGCTCATATATATGATATATACAAGCAATTAGAATATATATATACATATATATATATATATATATATATATATATATATATATATATATATATATATATATATATATATATATATATATATATATATATGTATGTAGGCGACGCAGTGGCGCAGTAGGTAGTGCTGTCGCCTCACAGCAAGAAGGTCGCTGGTTCGAGCCTCGGCTCAGTTGGCGATTCTGTGTGGAGTTTGCATGTTCTTGCGTTCGTGCGGGTTTCCACCAGGTGCTCCGGTTTCCCCCACAGTCCAAAGACATGCAGAACAGGTGAATTGAGTAGGCTAAATTGTCTGTAGTGTATGAGTGTGTGGATGTTTCCCAGAGATGGGTTGCGGCTGGAAGGTTATCCGCTGGGTAAAAACTGCATAAGTTATCGGTCATTCCGCTATGGCGACCTTGGATTAATAAAGGGACTAAGCCCATAAGAAAATGAATGAATGTATATACACACAAACAAACACACATACAAATACATACATACACACAAATATGAACAGCACACGGCAGTGAAAATGAAACCAAAAGCATGCACATCATTTAAATAATCATATCGCATTTTACAGTAATGATTGCGACAAGCATTTGATGTTTTTTCTTTCATAGCGTACACAAGGTGTTGTACATGAAAATAAATGTTTTCAGTGTCAGTATAACTACTCTAGCCTATGTAATGTTGATTTTATACATACATACATACATACATATATATATATATATATATATATATATATATATATATATATATATATATATATATATATATATATATATATATATAAAGTGTTTGCATATATATATATGTATGTATGTATGTATACACACACACATAAATATTCCACAGAGATTTTTGATCCATATTGACATGATAGCATCAAACAGCTGTTGCAGATTTGTCGGCTGAAGATCCATGATTTCCCGCAGCATCACATCCCAAAGGTGCTCTATTGATCATTGATTGATCATTTGTCTGCCATTGACCATCATATAATGATTCAAAGTCTTTTTAAAGTATACTTTTGTGGTTGCCTAACCTGCACATGGCTCTGTTCTGAAAATTATAACTAAAAAATATGGAAGCATGTTATTTTCGAATATGAAAAATGTCCAATTAATTAGCTGAAATACATTAGTAACAAATTGCAGTAAAATGTAAAACAATTCATGAGCAAAGGCCGAAGTGTTTTGTTCATTAAAATAGTTTGCGACATCAGTGATTAATAAGCTGTATGGTTCAAAAATTGGAAGTTTTGACTTGTTAAAGTCACAATGCCCAACATTAAATGGAAAAAAGTTGACGGCAATTGTTGTATGAATCGTTGTCTAATTGTAGGCATATATTATATAAAAATAGCAGCCCTATTAAATTATTTCGCCAAATATTAATCAAAATATAATTATTCTGTACATTAATATTAATGTTGATTGTCAACAAAACCTAGTTTTTACATACATTAAATGTGGCAGAGATTTGTTTAGGGCAGCTTATGTTCACATCTTTCTAATTCCATTCAGAGTGCTTTGCTTGTTCTCAAGTTTTCTCCTACAAAATATGTGCTTGCAGCATTCTACTTCTTGGAAAACTTTTGAGCTTAGTACAGTAAATGATAAAAGACAAAGGTTTAGCAAGTTGTAAAATGAGGAAATGGGATTGATTAAAATTATTTAAAGTTTTGCTTCACATGTACTGAAATTCAAACTCTCCTCCAGCTCCCCTCACTGAGGCAGTTGTATCTAAACTTTCTTAACTTTAAATAGTCAGGGTTTAAAACATCACCATTCAACTGAGACTTGTCTGAGAATTACTTCTTGGCACTGAGGCCTGAAGCTTATTTCAAACCATCAATCCTCTTTGTGTTAGATCTGTCTGCTTCCTTCAACATCACCAGATCCTTCTTTCCACCCTTCGGGCATAACTAGTCTGCTACACTGGTTTGAATCTTACCTCACAGGTAGGTCTTTCATCATTGCTTGGAAGAGGGAGAATTTCCAAAGTTCATCAACTGTTCATGAGGTGCCTCAGGGATTATTTCTTGGACCTCCTTTTTTTTTCATATCATTTACATCAGTAGGGATGGAAAAATCATCACATGGATGGAAAAATGGATGGAAAATCATCACATGCATCTTAACCTGGGACAGACAAAGCTTCTTGTCCTTTATGCCACTCAGATTAAGAATAGTAAGAGTTGTTGGAAACTTGTAAGCAATGACCCAGTGACAACTTTGAGCAGAATTCTTCATGGAATACTTGCTGCGTGATGGTGCTGTCACCAAATTTAAACTGCTGAAGCTAAACCTTAGTTTTATACTCATTTTAGGAGGATGTCCTTGCAAGTGAAGATAGAACCCACAAGGAACAATCCTAAACAAAGCATGCGAGGTTGTAAACACTCACAGAAATAGCGATAAGTCAAAAACCCAGACTCTTATGACCATAAACACTTCAGCTTTAAAGACTGGGGGAGGGTCATCAAAAGGACATGGCAGAGGGTGTAATACTTTTTGGAGAACAGGAGCCTTTGCTTCATGTTTTCATTTGTTTGATGTTTTTTGTCTTCACATTCAAAGGCAACAGTAGTTTTTTGATGTTTTCATTCATTTGTTTTCTTTTCGGCTTAGTCCCTTTATTAATCAGGGGTCGCCACAGCGGAATGAACCGCCAACTTATCCAGCATATGTTATACGCACCGGATGCTCTTCCAGCTGCAACCCATCACTGGGAAACATCCATACACACTCATTCACACACACATACACTATGGTCAATTTTATCTTAACCAATTCACCTATACTGCATGTCTTTGGACTTATGGGGGAAACCGGAGCACCCAGAGGAAACCCACGCAAACACATGCACATGCAAACTCCACACAAAAAACGGCAACTGACAAGCCGGGACTCAAACCAAACCAGCGGTCATTTTTGATGTGACACGATTGTGCTACCCACTTCGCCACTGTGCTGCCCGTTTTGTGATGTTATGTCAAGAAATGTGTAATCCCACAGCCTCACCATTTTACAAAGATTTCCATTTTTCATACAGCAATCTTGAGGCAATCTTTGTTCTCTAGCTGACTTTCAAAAACCACATCTAAGCTGGTCTATTCAGTGCTCTTCTGGCTGAACTTCCTTCATGCGTAATCAAATCACGTCACACCACTCTTTATCTCTTTGAGCTGCTACTAGTTGCAGCTTTTATCCAGCTCAAGACTTCAACACACTACTCCTACTCCTACTCACTTTTATGAGAGTGCATCTCCACCAGAATCCCTAATGATTCCCAAAAACCCAAAAATGATCACAGAGGTATCACACAAATCAGAAAGGGAATGATCCTCCTGACCACATCTTTATTCTGAAAACTCAGCACTTAAAGGAATAGTTCACCCAAAAATGAA